GTGGCTGGCGCCTTAGCCGCTTGAGCCACAGGCGCCGAGCCTGCGCTGACGATTTCAAATCCAGCCCAGGACAGGCAAACAACAATGACAGCTGCAACCAAAATAAATAAATAAATAAATAAATAACTGGGCATTGTGGCAGGCGCCTGTAGTCCCACCTACTTGGGAGGCAAAGGCAGGAGAATTGCTTGAGCCCAGGAGTTGGAGGGTGCTGTGAGCTGTGATGTCATGCACTCTGCCCAGGGCGATAGCTTGAGGCTCTGTCTCCAAAAAAAAAAGAAAAAAGAAAATAGGCATAGAAGGGACATTTCTTAAAATAATAGAAGCCATCTACAGCAAATCCATGGCCAATATCATATTGAATGGTGTAAAATTGAAAACATTTTCACTCAGATCAGGAACAAGGCAAGGATGCCCACTGGGTCCACTGCTATTCAACATAGTAATGGAAGTCTTAGCCATCACAATCAGGCAAGAGAAGGTGACGAAGGGCATCCAAATAGAGTCAGAGGAGATCAAACTCTCACTCTTCCCTGATGATATGATCCTCTACCTGAAAAATCCCAGGGACTCAACTTCAAAACTCTTAGAAGTGATCAAGGAATACAGCAGCATCTCAGGATACAAAATCACTACTTACAAGTAAGTAGCTTTTATACAAACCAACAATAGTCAAGCTGAAAAAACAATCAAGGACTCTATTACTTTTACAATAGTGCCAAAGAAGATGAAATATCTGGGAATTTACCTAACAAAGGATGTGAAAGATCTCTACAGAGAATTATGAAACTCTGAGAAAAGAAATAACTGAAGATGTTAACAAATGGAAAAACAAACCATGCTCATGGATGGGAAGAATCAACATTGTTAAAATGTCCATACTACCCAAAGCAACCTACAGATTTAATGCAATCCCTATTAAAGCACCATTGTCATACTTTATAGAACTTGAAAAAACAATGCTTTGTTTTATATAGAATCAGAAAAACCCTCAAATACCGAATATATTACTCAGAAATAAGAACAAATCAGGAGGTATCACATTACCAGACTTCAGGCTTACTATAAATCTATAGTGAATAGAGAACCAAGAGATGAACCCAGCTACTTATTGTCATTTGATCTTTAACAAGCCTATCAAAAATATTCAATGGGGGAAAGACTACCTATTTAACAAACAGTGCTGGGTGAATTGGCTAGCAACCTGTAGAAGACTGAAACTAGACCCCCACCTTCACCATTAACAAAAATTGATTCTCACTGGATAAAAGATTTTTTTTTTTTTGAGACAGAGCCTCAAGCTGTCCCCCTGGGTAGAGTGCCATGGCATTACAGCTCATAGCAACCTCCAACTCCTGGGCTCAAGCGAGTCTCCTGCCTCTGCCTCCCAAGTAGCTGGGACCACAGGCACCCGCCACAACGCCCGGCTATTTTTTGGTTGCAGCCGTCATTGTTGTTTGGTGGGTCTGGGGTGGATTCGAACCCGCCACCTTTGGTGTATGTGGCTGGCGCCTTAGCCGGTTGAGCTATAGGCGACAAGCCTAGATAAAAGATTTAAATGTAAGACATGAAACTATTAAAATACTAGAAGAGAGTGCAGGGAAAACACTTGAAGAAATTGGCCTGGGACAGTATTTTACGAGGAGGACCCCCCACCCAGGCAACTGAAGCAACACTAAAAATACATTACTAGGATCTGATCAAACTAAAATCTTTTGCATAGCGAAGAGCACAGTAAGCAAAGCAAATAGACAGACTTCAGAATGGGAGAAGATTTTTGCAGGTTATGCTTCCAACAAAGGTCTGATAACTAGAATCTATAGAGAACTCAAACTAATCAATAAGAAAAGAATAAATAACTCCATTTCTATGTAGGCAAGAGACTCGAACAGAAACTTCTCTGATGAAGACAGGCGCATGACCTAAAAACACATGAAAAAATGCTCATTATCCTTAATCATCAGAGAAATGCCAATCATAACCACTTTGAGATATCATCTACCTCCAGTAAGATTAGCCCACATCACAAAATCCCAAAGCTACAGACCTTGGTATGGATGCAGAGAGAAGGAAACACTTCTACACTGCTGGTGGGAATGCAGGCTAATATGACCTTTTTGGAAAGAAGTTCAGAGAACACTCAAGGAACTAAAAGTCCATTTGATCCTGCAATTCCTCTACTAGGTATATATCCAGATGATCAAAAATCATTTTCCAACAAAGACATTTGCACCAGAATGTTTATTGCAGCCCAATTCATAGAAACAGCCCAAGTACCCATCAACCCATGAATGGATTAACAAATTGTGGTATATGTACATCGTGGAATACTAAGCCATAAAAAGATGGAGACTTCACATCTTTTGTGCTTACCTAGATGGAGCTAGAACATATTCTTCTTAGTAAAATATCTCAAGAATGGAAAAAAAAGTATCCAATGTACTCAATAATACTATGAAATCCATATATAACCACCTACACTCTCATACGAATGGCAAAACATAACTATAGTCCAGAAAGTAGAAGGGAAAAGGAGAGAGAGGGGAGGGGAGGAGATGGGAGGAAGGAGGGTATTTGGGGGGACTTCATCTAATGTGAATGATGCAATGGTACATTTCCAAAGTATTTAGAAATGAGTATAATTGTGATGGCTGTGTTACTTAGTTCAATGTAAACATTCACATTTTATATTGAAGTAGTACCTTGAACCCCATTAATGCATCAATGTACAAAGTTATGATTTAATAAAAAATAATTTCACCAAGAAAAAGATTTATTCCACAAAAATGTATTAAGTATTTTTTTTTTTTTAGAGACAGAGTTTCACTTTGTCACCCTTGGTAGAGTGCTATGGTGTCACAGCTCACAGCAACCTCTAGCTCTTGGGCTTAGGTGATTCTCTTCCCTCAGCCTCCTGAGTAGCTGGGACCACAGGCGCCTGCCACAATGCCTGGCTATTTTTTGTTGCAGTTTGGCCAGGGCCAGGTTTGAACCCACCACCCTCGGTATATGGGTCCGGCGCTCTATCCACTAAGTTGCTTATACTCAATTATCAAGCTGAATACCTGTACATGAAGAAAGTTAGATGTGGATACTGCCTCCTGGGAGCTCATAATGTGGGAAAAATTAGATGCTGAAAGTGACATGATAGAGGTAAGCAGAGGAAGCTATGGGAACCCATAGCATAAGAAGCCAACCCACGCTGGGGTGATAAGTGAAAGCTTACCAATGTTGCTAATGCCTGAGCTACAGCTTAAAATAAAACTCAGGGTTACCAAGACGAACTAGTTCACTGGGCTGAAACATAACTAATGGTCAAAAAAATGTTTATTGATCGTAAAAACACAGGCAGTGACCCTATTAGATTTACTCTACTACCTAGTTCAATTAATCACATGCATTCAATTTTATCTTCAGTTTGTTCTCTTAAATTATAGGACTTGCCCTTCTATTTGCATGATTTAATATAGTCTTTCTTCAAATATAACACTTCAAAGATAAAAGTCAATCCAAATCAGCTCTATTTACAATAAGTTTAAAATTGAGCAAATGCTGTTTACAAAAGATGCCAGGTACTAAAGAAAAAGTTTTCAATGCACTTCTACATAAATTTTAGTAAAGACTGGTAGAGTATATATGAAGCAAGTAGAATCTTACTTGTAAGAAGCACTCTGCCCTAATGATGGTATCCAGGAAGTTGGCAAATTCTTTTCCATGTCCATAATCATTTGCCTTGTACCAAAAGCATTCTGGAGCAGAAATAGTAAATATAAACATGTGAATGTAAAACAATAAAAACTACATAAAACATAATTATCACTATAAATGACAAATAAATGATAAAAAAAGCCCTAAGTCTCATACATCCTAGCCACCTCACACTGTAGATTATAACAAGTATGTGCAGGTGACAGTGAGAAACTCCTTAATAATTTCATAATATAGGGAAAAGATTACAGTGAAAAAAACTGGTAAAATTCACATATAATGACTAGGGTTAGCTTTATAGCAGATAATAACTCAGAAAACTATAAACACATGAATTAAAAGTTTGAGTATACCTTAAACTTCACTTAGGGTGAGCTGCATATAATTTAAGAGAAGTATGAATTTAGTAAGTGGAAATCTAATAATTACATCATATTCTATCTAAAGAAAGACTCAGAAGTAGAACTTGCCTGGAACCAACTAAAACCAACTTTATCTGGGTGTGGGGGCTCATGCCTGTAATCCTAGCACTCTGGGAGGCTGAGGCAGGTAGACTGCCTGAGCTCACAGGTTCAAGACTAGCCTGCGCCAGCACAAGAATTCTTCTCTAAAAGTAACTGGGCATTGTGGCAGGAGCTGTAGTTCCAGCCACTCAGGAGGCTGAGGCAAAAGAATCATTTGACCCCAAGAGTTTGAGGTTGCTGTGAGCTATGATATCACAGCACTCTACCTAGGATGACAAAGTGAGACTGTCTCAAAACCAAAACCAAACAAACAAACAAACAAAAAACTTTAAACACTTTAATCTCAGCACTCTGGGAGGCCAAGGCAGGAAGATTGCTTGAAGCCAGCAGTTGAGAGCAGCCTGAACAAGAATAAGACCCCATCTCTGCTAAAAATAGAAAAAACAACCAGGTGCTGTGGCACATGTCTATTGTCTCAGGAACTCAGGAGGCTGAGGCAGGAAGATCACTTGAACCAAGGAGTCTCAGGTTGCCATGAGCTATGACACCACTTCACTCTACCCAGGAGAACAGAGAGAGAGACTTTGTCTCAAAAAAAAAAAA